ACCACCGCCACCACCACCACCACCACCACTACCACCACCACCACCACCACCACCACCACCACTGCCACCAAGCCAAGTGTTGTCCAAACTAAGCTACAGATTACCAACAATAAAGTACACATTGTCGGGAATAAATTACTTTATACCGTAGGACAAGTTTTCCCGAGTTATCATGTATCTGAGACTAATTGCATTGCGTGTTGTTTTCAAGAGAAAACTGCAACGTTTTGAGTGTACGACATTTCACAGATAGGAGTACATTTCAATGTAAAATCCGTGATCTTATCAAATATTATATGGGTTGAAAGAAGGCAAATGGTGTTGATTAGTGCATTTACTGCCACGTCATCTGCTCCGTTTAATATTAACCTGGAAGATCAGCATCCGGTTTTTCCAATTGTTGCTTGGTAACTCACTTGACAGGCTATCGGAGAGAGACTGGAGAACAGGTGTGTGTGTGTGTGAACTCTCGAGAAAAACATCTTGCTGATGAATGGGGAGGAGAGAACGGAAAGATTACTTATGTTAAACATAGGCTTTTTCATATTCAAGTATCCTTCTGTTCTCAGATATTCTTGAAATCTATGCAGTGAAATAAAAGTAATGGTGAATATTTTGCTGAGCACATTACCACGGTTAACCGCTCAATAAATTGAATGAGCTTTGTAGTATCGGCTGTGTTTGCGTGTGTGAAGATCCAATCACTGTTCGCAAGTTGTTCCTATTCCATGTTTGATGTTTTGGTTCACAAAACTCGACCTGTACTTTTCTTACGCATCAACTGATGCCAGAGTTTTATCTCAGTCTCCGGGTAACACCATGCTCCTTTCTTTGCGCTTGACCCCCCCTTGGCACCACGGGAAAAGAAACTGGGAAGATCGTCGAAACTAAACTCGTTCCAGCTACCTCAGCCCAAGTCGGTTATCAATATGGAATTTACACTTTTATATGGTCTCATACAGATCACATTGATAGTGGCGCATTTGCCCGCATTCATTCTTCAATTCCGACCAGATTCGAGCAACTCAAAGAGCCCCGCACAGGATCTATTATCTGGGCATTGAGCGCGACCGGAAAGATTCAAATTGAACATCAATATGAATACCTACCATTTAGCTAACTAGCTATGGAATATTTGAGGTGTGCATAGTGAACTTGGTCAATTTTCTTTGGTATAACGCTTGCCCTCAGTTGTCTGAAAACAAACTGCAATTTCCAGAGTTCAAAGCCTTGTTTTGTTTTCGCGTGAACTACAAGACAGTTCATGAGGTGATGCTTAATTTGGATATACGAAGCGGAGTTTTAAAGAATGCAGAACCGTTTAATAAGTCCCGACGAAGCTATTGACGTGTTCCATTTGACACGCACTTCCCATCCCCTTCAGTAGCTGTGGTGGATTCGTCCCATTACGAGTGATTTCCATCAAGTCGGGTTAGCGATTCATTGTCATTTTCGGACGTTTTGATTCTACCGGGCAATTGCGAATTCCACTAGGACAGACTTATGTCAAACAGCTTACTCACACAGTTTGAATCACTAGATAACAATTTTGTACATCATCAAGACATTACTATATTTACCCATGTTATACCACATCTAACCGGCAGAAAACCCGAAAACCTGTCCTAGTTGAATGAATGAGATACAAGTTGAAATGCTGGGTATGTTTTCAAGTTTACTAAAAAGTAAAGTCAATATTCCGAAAATGAAGGGTTTTAGGAAAAAGCAAGTCGAAGTATTCGGAAAACGTTCCGCCTCCTCACAGATTTTTACTTAAACAGGAACGATCTAATCCGCATGAATGGTTGTAACACGGACTTGTGCAACCACCATTGCCAAAACTGAATGCACCACATAATCACCACCTCTTCCGCAACTAGGGTAAATGTTATCGTTATGATGCCATATAGTGCCATGAAAATATGTACTGGGTTATCAGCGAGGTTCGTTTGATCGGCTGACGGAGAATATAAACAGTCGTCGTTAGTTTCACACACACACACACACACACACACACACACACACACACACACACGGAGTGCCATTTGTGTTCAGCGATAGAATTCTTCCGTGAGGAAAGCCGGAATGACGGTAGTTTTTTCATTTGGCCTCTTTGTTTTCAGAGAATAACGCTGAAAAATTTCGTTGACTAGCATGGTGATTTTGATAAATTGCCATCCACATTCGGCTGGGTTCATATAAATACGAGTTTTAAAGAAAATATAAACTGGACATAAAAATATCATAAACTACATATTACGCTCCTCAAAGATGAGTCTGCACATACAATAGTCACGTGAATGGATCAGTCTTTTGAATTAACAAAGCTTCCGAGTCCTGGTAACCGAGTGCAGAAAATCTACCAAAAAGGATCGGTTATTCTATATCAGGACTTCCAACAACTTAGAAACCTGAATCAATTCCCGGGTGGCATATTGAACAAACATGACAAAGAAGAATAAGCTGTTACAATGTTAAATATGCCGTTCGCCTAAGGCCAGGAACGAAAACAATGATACAAAAATACTGAGACGGGGTTGTAGGGAAACGAGGTGCTGTTTCGGATCCTAACTGGAATCACCTTCATCATAAACAGAGTTGTTACTCTATCCACCTGTACAACTTTCCTCAGAAAGATAGATGTATTTTCCCAAATTTCGAATTCCAGTACAACAAATAGTATACCATTATTATAATCAAGTTACTAATGCCCAATTCAACTTCTTAGAGGGTATCGTCGGTGAATCCAAATGCGCACTTTTAACCCATACCAAAGTACAGTAAAAGATGTGCTCCATTTCTGACGGTTGTCGAATTCACATCTCATCATGGTGATCGCAAATCTTAAAAAATCATTGGTTGTGCTCCGATTCTAAATCCTTGGATTGAATAATGTGGCTAGTCTACTCCAATAATTCTGCATGAATTGTTACTTCATTGATGGCTATTTTTAGCGAAAAAGACCTCTCCATTGCATGGGGCAAAAATAAGCTTTGATCGAAAGTTGATCGACTCATTGAACGTGTCTGTGCCTGTGCCATTCGTGTGCATGCGCCAGGATGGCGAGTGAAATTTAGCGAGTTTGTTTGGGATCAACTGAAGGACGTCTGCTAGTGCTATGCCAGAGAAACAAGGCGTTTTCAATCACGGCAACGTGAAACAAGACTGAGAGAGTTCAGTGGATTTGTTTCTTCGTCTCTACGTACTGGGAATAAACCGAATGCGCTGGACGCTGCACTGATTTTTAACCGATAATGTGCAGCGAGGAATTTACTTGCCTCACGGTTCTGGTTCAGTCTAATCGAAAACCAACAACGGGGTAGATGGACAGCAAACAGAAGCACGGTCGACCGAAAACGATCATCAGCGTAGCTATCACAGGCTTCTAGAAAGTAGTTATGAGAAGTCACAGAAATCTCGTCGGATGGTATTCTATTGTTATGCATTCTAAGGCATGATATTAACATTTCTGCAATAAAGATAAAAGTAACTTGTGTTTCATGTCCACGAATTTCTTTTTATAAAGAAAGGCGTTACTCGGGGTGAGCAACACAGTATGTCGATGAAAGAGTTCTTTTCCTGTACTTCCCTGTTGATGGAAAGTGAATATCTCGATACATCGACATTGAATTAAGTGTCCAATGCAGGCGGTAATGACCGAGTGGTTGTGGCCATCACAATTTTGACCCGGATGTCCCGGGTTCGAACCGCTCCACCGCTATCCCTCTTCCCCATTTCTTTGTTTCCCATGCAGCCTTTGTCGTATGACCGCAGCCCCTTTCCAGAAAGTTTACTTTACAGTAGTATATTCAATAAATAAAAAAGGAAGTAAAAAAGACAACATGGTGATTATGAGTTTGTTTTCCCTCCTGTTACACACACACAAGTGATCTTAGGATTCGGGACCGAGTGAGCTGAAATAAAATGATCAGTATAAAGTCACAGCAAACAGATATGGAGTTAAAGTGCGTAGAAGGGAGACAAAATGACACGCTACACAACTCCTAATTCAGAAGTGGAATTTGAAGAGATTTGACGGTATCTTGTAAACTGTTTTCCAGAGGAAATGTATTCTATTATGAGGGCTGTAGTTGTTGGAGAGATAGCACGGTTTGCAAGAATAGAAAGAACCTAAACTCTGTCAGCACTTTCAAATGTATAGCAGTGGTGTGCATCTTTAAATTTTTTCACAAAATGAACTTCACTGAAGAAGTGAGACCATCGTGGGTGAACCGTTTGAAACAATAAGCCAACCGATCAGAGTCGTTTGTGCTTAACTGGTGGACAGTGTACATCGAATATGTTCAGAGAGGATGAAGCAAAGGACGACGTTTCGTGGAGGTTTCGTACGAAACGGTATAATACTGGATGTCCTTAATTAATTGGGTATTGTCTTCAGTGTTGTTGAAGATGTTGGGTATAATTAGTAACAGGCTACTGGCGCATTTTTCACAATTTGGCCCGCCGATATCATGGGACTTAACAATTGGCGATTTCAACTTATTCAAATGGAATCGAACGCATAAAGAGCTGTGTCAGGTATAGAGGGTAATTCTGGTCTTTGAGTAGACCTGGGTGGGGATAGCTATTCTGAATAGGTTACAATTTATATCTTCAATAGAGAAGAAGAGTGACAACTGACAGGCGAGCCATCAATAGAGTTTCGACAGAATATTTGGGCTTATAACATGTTCAGAAGGCAAATTACAATTCCAAAGAACTTTGTTATAGTAGTCATCAAACGATAATCCTTAGATTTTTAAACGTATCCCTCTTTACGTTATTTCTGAATGGAAGAACACACAAATGAGTCGGATATGGAATGTTTGAAATGACCGGGAAACATCAAAATAAAAGTTAGGACATCCAGTCAAATGAAGACAGACAGCAGTTAAATCCTAGTGAAAACAAATACGGAAAGGACTATTACAGCGACTGTGCCTCGGAGTATCGTAACATGTTTCGGGTAAAATTCTGCACCCGAAATCAGTAGCCTTTGATTACATATAAGGATATCAAAAAGGTTCAAAAGCAACATATAGAAAACAAAGAAAAGCAAGAGGAAAACGAACTAAAACTCGAAAAATTCGTCTGAGAGACATTTTGAGAATATACCTGTGTTTGAAATTATAGCTGGTCGGTAGTCGCTTAGGTATTTGTGTTTACATCCAAGA